TGGATAAACCGGCACTGCTTTTTTTCTAAGCTATCGAACAATTATCGATGCTTAATTCTGGGTCCACGGAAGTATACTGGCGCTCGCATATAAGATCGACTTAATAGTTTTTTTTAGCTTAATTAGCTACGCGCAGTTAATAAATTACATGCTTTAATATTCGGTGATGAAAGGATATTATTAGTTTGATTTTTATTAATGTCACACTTTGAAGCTTCACGACGGCTATGAGGAAAGTCGGGAAGATTTCTCAGAATTGTCGGGAGTTATCAGTAACAAATATTTAAAGTAATTTACTTAAAAACTCATCTACAACAGGTTTAGAAATCATGTTTTAAAATTTCATTAAATTAGATATATTACATGACATTAACTGCTTTAAGGTATCCGACTACGTTCGGAACCGTGATTTTAAAAAAGCGCATAAATGGATACTTTTCATGATATTTAGTGTCACTTAGATTAGACTACATGTATAAAGTTATTTTAAGGACATTTTGACAAAAAAATTATTTAAATACAATACTTTGGCAACAAATTAACTTAGAATAATCTTTTTTCAAAATGTTCGCCTTTTGTGAAAAATGCTTCTATTATAATAATATTTTGCCTGTCTATAGCTCAGACCTCTTTACAGAGGCTCAACTATGATTTTTGAAAAATTCATATTATTTTCAGAGTTACAGCCCATTGAAATAATTATCGGCGTTTTTTTCTTAAAATTTTGCCCCTATGCTGTCGTAAAATATGGATAAACCCACTTCTAAGTTATATATTTCAAAAATTCTAGTTGAGCCTCTGTAGAGAGGTCTGAGCTATAGACAGGCAAAATATTATTATAATAGAAACATTTTTCACAAAAGAACATTTTGAAAAAAAATTATTCTAAGTTAATTTTTTGCCAAAATATTGCATTTAAATAAATTTTTTTTGTCAAAATGTCAAAACAATTGTATATATGTATTCTAATCTAAGTGACACTAAATATCATGAAAATTATCCATTTAAGCGCTTTTGCAAAATCGCGATTCCGAACGTAGTCGGATACCTTAAGCAATAAAATCTGATCTAATAGAAGATATTAAGCATCATAAAATAGTGTATAAGCAATTTGTGAAAGATGCTACAAAAGTAGCCGAAATTGCGAAGTAGTTAATAAGTTATGTTACGAGTTATATATACAACACATTTATAGATTCTGGCAGAATCACGTGTATTTGCCTCTTCATGTGTTGCTATGCAGATTTGGCTTTATAAAAAATTACTGTATTTATTTAGCATTTTGGTTTTTATGGGTTTGGTATGAATGTTAATATTTTTACATCGTATTTTGTATTGGAAGCTATCTTTTACATTATTTTAAATGTTAATCCTTTAGTATTATAGTTATAATGTTAGAGTGCATTTTCTTTCACAAACTTATTCTAACACTATATATATATATTTTCTCTTCCTTTCAGCCCAAATGTTTAGGTCACATAAGTCTTTTTTCAATAAATCTTCGGTGCCGTGGGTTAACCACCCCTGATTTAGTACATTAGTAAATTTCATGCAAGTCAATTTAACCACGTTATTAAAATTTCTGCTTCTCGAATTTTTTTTTTTTTTTTGCTTATAATTTTTGGATATAAACAAAAAAAACGATGAGGATTTTTTTTTTAAAAAAAAAACAACACTTTTTTCATTAATATAGAGGTGTCATCTTTACAAAAATACTTGTATAAACGTTGCAAATATAGCTATTTAAATCATTTATAAGTTTTTAAGATACATAGTGATCAGAGAAATACATTTGTTATTTTTCAACTTAGTGGTGTAATACCTTGAATAGTCAAATCTTTAAAATTCCCCTGAGTGAATTTAAGTATAATCTTTTTACACCGATGGAAGTTACAAACTATTCCTATTTCTGTAGGAATTCGAAAAAATGTATAAAACCCGAAAATTGTCTTAATTTTGCGTACTAAACATTTTGTATTTAATTAAAACTATTTACTCATTCGATAAGACTTAAAACTTTTACAGATATATTTCTTCAATGTGCAATGTTCCATTTATTGATCTATTTATTTTGGTGTATGCAGAGTATCTCCTTTTCATTTTCATAATTTTATCCTGCACACTAAGCAGAACACAAAAAAGTGATTTTCATTTATACGTTATTTTCTGCTGAATGCACACGAATGCAATCTCAACGACACCTACAGATTATTTGCGCACCCCGCGCGACTATACAGTCGTGGTAAAAATAGCAACACACTTTCATAACTCGAACAGAGTTTAGTCGTTAAGGAACTGATTGTATGCGCTTAGCTAAAACCTTCCCAATTACTTGAGTTATATTGAAATGTGTTATTTTGTTTTAAACGATATTATTTTGTTATTGTATTCATTCAACATTTGCATCTATAGAATTTAGTTCTTAATATGCTATTATAATACAAGTTCCTTTATAACTACAGATAAAAAAAATAGTATTTGTTAGTAATAAAAATATTTAGATATGTTAACAAGTATGTTTCGAGTTTTCAAAATAACACTTGAATCAACTTTCTAACAATTGATATTTCTAAAAATACTATAAGATGCAGACGATATTAGAATAACAATTTATTCCGGAATAAGATAGAATAGATTTCAAGAATCTTTCTACCTGCCAATGTGAAATTACTTTTAAAAATCATGGTGTGAAGTATTTTATTGCAATTCATATTTAAATGAAGGAGTTTTTTTTCTTGGGAAATAACATTTTCATGTTAGTTATGCTGTGTCATGTTCAATAACTACTTTGAAATCTGACATCGCGAAATTTTTAAATGTAAATGCGAAAAATGAAATGTGAGGGTCAATATTTGTTCCGTTGTCGTATTAAAATTATAGAAATCTTGCTAAATAATACTCCAAGAACATCAATGGATGATGAGTGACACATAAAAAGCTTTGTGCATAAAAAAAAAATATTACAAATTATTATTCTAGATAGAGTGAATAAAAATAAGAGTTTTTATTTGGTAAATAGAGGGGAAAAAAGGAATCTCTTCGCTTAAAAGCATTCATTTTTTATATAAAGGAGTATTTTTTATATAAAAGAGTTTTTTATATAAAGGAGTTTTATATATTTTGAAAAACCTATAAAGCAGCTCTTTTTAAATTAATTTAGAGAGTAGAGCTACAGCGTATAAGTTAAGATTTTCTAGGTTCTAAAACTAAAATTCAAAATAATTTTTTTTAAAAATTGAAAAATGGTGGAGAACTTGGCTACATTTTTTTCAAAAATCACGATGGAAAAATGAGTTAAATTAAAATTAAAAATATCTGCTTAGAAAAGTTTCTATTTTTTTTTCTTCTTTAGTTCTAAAATTGGTTATATTGATAATTTTCAATAAAAATTGCGAAAATTTGCTGTAAATTTGATTTTAATAATTAGATTTATGCATACTATAACCAATAAAAATTCAAAACCTTTTCATTCTTAAATAGCATAAAAGGATTTTTTGATGATTTGTATTGTTATTTGAACCAAAGGAAAGAAATCCAGAAATAAACCATATATCTGAATATTTTTTTTTTTTTGAAGATTTTACACCCGAATGTGAAATGTTTTTATTACTGATGACTAACATGTTTTAAAATATTCTAAAACATGAACCTTCTTATGATAATAACCCCCAAAATAGGGTTATTAAATTTGTTTAGTCTTTTGAGATTTTTTATTGTTAGGCATTTTCAGTTAATATCAGCTTCTATTAAAAATTTAACATCAAAAGATCGAGCATGTATAAGTAAATAATCAGTAAGAAGGAAACTCACTCAAATCAATTGCGCTATTCAAATAACAAGAGTTTAATATCAATTTAGTTCCCTTTCTAAAGTGGATGTGGCTGCAGTAAACGAAGAATGGTCATGGTCACCAACTCATGCTCGAGTCTTGGTGCATTGAGGGCTCGCGAGTAACGATCACATTAGTTTAGAGTGCAACGTTAATAAAAACAAGTAATATACAAAATTTATGAAGTCAATTCCTGCTTAGGTCAACAAATTTTTTTTTTATTTTAGTTACTTTTTATCAAATACAGTCGGACCTCTATATAACGAAGTTGCTATATCCCGGAAAAAAGTTCGTTATATGGAAAATTCGTTATATAGAGGTTTATCGTTAGATATACTTTGTAAGCCACATAAAAAAAATTTTAAATTCATAAACACTATATATTAAAAAGGAAATTATTCACACCTTTTTTTTAAAATTAATATATGTTTATTTTATATATCTTACCCACTAAAAAAAAAAGAAAAGAAAAGAAAGAAAAACTGCAAGGAAAACAAGAAAAAGAATTTCGAAGAATACACTGTATTTTCATTATGAAGAGAAAATAATTTTATATTAAAATTAATGAATTTTAAGGACATTTCTAACTTAAAGCATACAAGTAATATTAAACACACATTATTTTATAACTAGAACACGGGGACACGGGACAACTCCCCTGAGTGTGAAAGAGGATATCGAAGATGTTTCTAGTGAACTGGACAATGAGGGTTAAAGGTTGCACTTCTTGGATGAAACGTCCAGAAGTTAGTTAGCGAGTTAGCGTCGGCGAGTTAGGATCTAATAAAACCAGTTCAAGATTTATGTGTGACCACCATAAAATGTATTTAAAGAGAGAATAACTTAAAGTGTCAGTAATACTTGAAAAATAGGGTGGGAAAAAAATTGAATCACAAAAGAAAAATTTCGTTATATAAAAAATACATTTCGCTATAGAGAGGTTATTTTACGAAAAAAATCTTGAAATCTTCAAGGTTCCAGGAAAAAGTTCGCTATATAGAGGTTCGACTGTAGTTATAGTTATAATATAAATATGTTTATACATATGACAGAATCACAATATTAAGTGACAAAATAGAAAGCGATTTTCCTTTCTATATATGCTGTAGGACTATTATTTTTTGTTTGTTACTATTTATTCATTCATAAACCACATTCTCAGAAATTAAGCTATTCCAGGAAGGATTCAAACCCTCGACCTTAGGATTAGAAGTCCAATGCGCTATTCATTGCGTTACTATTCCTTTCTATATATGGTGTTGGACTATTATTTTTGTTTGTTACTATTTATTCATTAATTAAATTGAATCAATGAATTAATATTTGAAATAAATTATAGTTTTTTTAAAAAAAACTAAGAAACACGCTTTTATTTTGAATCAAACTAAAAATTAAAAAAATAATCTTAATACAAGAAAAAAATGATTAACGAGAAAATTAATGTCATTGGGGGAAAAAGCGTGGGGTGCTCTATATCAATTATTATAATTTCTTACTTTCTTTAAGTTCTATTCCGAAATGCCGAGTTAGTGTAAAAAGGTAGTTCAAAGGACCCCACGCTTTTACCACAATGACATTAATTTTCTCGTTAATCATTTTATTTTTATATTAAGAATTATTTTTTACTTTTTAGTTCGATTCACTACAAAAAAAAGCGTATTTTTTATTTTTTTTAGACTATAATTTATTTTTTCAGTTTTTTGTTCGATCTACAATAAAAGCCTCTTTTTTTTTTAGTTTTTAAAACTATCAATTATTCTTTGTTGAATTTATCCTTGAGTTTGATATTTGGAGCAGGAATTACGTGGCCGCTGGAATTAGTCTTGCTCTTCAATGGATATTAATTAATAGGTCTGAACGGTACTTATGCTCTCCGTTTACGGGGTCTCGGAAGAGTCCCATATCTTTGTATTTCAAAGATTCCGTTTCTATAGATACAGGTCTAACTAAAAAAAGTGCGTAAGAAAAAATATTAAATATCAATCGTATTATCACCTTTTAAACGTATTGCTATAATGTTAATTAGCATCATTCCTTCTAAACGTATTGCTTTATAAAAATATTTCTCACATAAAGAACACTTTTTTTGTTTTATTTGTATTAACCACAAGCCTATTCGTGGTTTTAGGGTTGCACCTTAATCTTTTAGTCGCTAAATCTGGAATTAGTCGCCAAATCTATAAATCGTATTCCTAATTATCCTGATCAGGACAATGGAACAATATTATGAAATTATTGTATTGTCATCGGTCCTTGACATGTGTGCAAAATTTCGAATTTATCTGGACCTTTTAAAGTGGGTAAAAATAGAGTTCAAAGATTCCGTTACATACAAGTGAAACTTATAAAAGCGTGTTAAAAAACTGTATTAACATTAAGTGTCATCCCCTACAAGTTTAAAAAATTGTATTTGAACTTGAGTGGATGAATAAAACGTATTTTATTAACGATTGAAAATTTGTGAAGATATATAAATATATATAGGGAGAGTGTGAACTAATAGTAGGAATTGAAATGAAAAATAGAAAAAGCCTTTTACCATTCAAATACATGGAAAGCAATGCTTACAGTTTCAAGGAAAAGTGTATACGCATAATAATATTTGCAGAATCTCTATTTCTTTTTTTCGAAAAACCCAAATATATTAAAAATTGACACTTTTAATGGATAAATAGCATTACGGGAAAAATTAGACCAAGATTTTTTTAAAAAAAAAAAGATTGACTGAACATGGTGCGAAAAAAATGCGATGTAAAATATAAACTGCTGCAATATGGAGTACCAACGCAGGTGCCGACCTCATCATCTGACAATTGTTTAAAATTTGGAAGCATTTTTTTCTATAGATAACGGATCTATGCGTTGATCAAAAATATAGAGCAGAAAATGTTCATTGTAACAAATAAAAAATATAACAATAACTTCTAGGAATAAAAATGTTGTTTCGTTGATGAACGCGCATACATATACACGGAAAAGATATATTGTATAATGAGATTCACACATACTTTCTTACAAAACGTATACGTTTATTTTAATTAAAATATCACGCGAAATCAGGAATGTACGTTTAAAATTTTAAGTCGTAGCCAAAATGACATAATCATTATCCTTGATGTTCTCCTATAATATTAAGCATACAATTGGTTAACACATGATTAAAATTCAAAATGCATTCCGTAATCCCATATAAGGAAGCAACAAAAGAAAAGGCGACATCAGCAATTTCGAATTGGAATTAGATATAAAAGGATATCACACTAGCAATTTGAACATATTTAATCGTAGTTTTATGCAATAAAAGTGTTATAAATTAAAGTTATGTTAGAAGAAAAGTACAAATTGTATTTTAATTTCTTAGGTTAAAATTATTTAGGAAATTACTCTCGGATTTGCGTAACAGTTTCTGTAAAAGTTACAAAATTAAATAAGCTCAGAAGTATATCATTTTTTTAAAAATGTAAATTATAGGTATCAAAACAAATTATTTTGCTACATTTGTAGAAAGATTTTTTTTAGTAAAAACCTTTTACTAAAGTTATTTTTTAAAAAAGTTATAGTTATTTTTAAAAAAGTTAGTTAAGTTATTTAAAGGTTTTTTTCAATTCTTACTATTAGTTCACTCTCTCCCTATATTTATTTACTATGTATAGTATATATATATATAGTTCAATCGTTAATAAAATACTTTCTCTTCATCCATTCAAATTCAAATACATTTTTTTTAAAACTTGTAGTGGATGACACTTCGATGTTAATACAGTTTTTTTCAAATATTAATTCATTAAATAAATTAAAAAATTAATAAACAGTAACAAATAAAAATAATAGTCTAGCAGCATATATAGAAAGGAATATTGTTCGCTGTGTCCCTGTGTGTGATTCTGTCATATACATATTTATATTAATTGGAACTATTTAAAAAAAAAAGAAACTAAAAATATTTTTTTCTTCGTTGACCTAAGTAGGAATTGACTTAATTTTATTTTATGTATATTACTTTTTTTTTTGAAACTCTATCAACCTGTTTGGCAATCGGTTCGCATTAAGGTGATTGACAACGTTCGGAACCGTGATTTTGAAAAAAGCGTATTAAAAAGCTGTCCACTTTTTTTACAATGGAAAGGAGGATGAAAAATTTAAGAAAAAATTACAACGTAAATATATGAAACATAATTTATTAACTCAAACAAAAACACTAACTACGCAAACATCCTTTTTAAATATTTAGTTAAATAAGTATTTTTCCATTAAAATAATTTTTTTTTGTTGTCAATATATCATTTTCTAATACATCGGAAATTTCGGAGCAAGAAAAATCCTTCATATAGAACTCTACGGTAAGTGCCGCAGCTTAAGTATCAATCTGAATTTCTCCCTTGTCCAAAAATCATTACCAATTGCAAAAACTCTTTCAACGGTGAGGCATTAGTTCCAGGGCTGCACAACGTAAATTCAAGAATATAACAAATTTTCATATGAAATGAGTTTATTTTTGAAATGGTTAAATATTTCCACCCATCTTTAATCGTTCTTAACATGCTGATTTTTCCATTGTTCTAATTTATCAGAATTTAATTATACGCTCAGTCTTCTAATTACTTTAAACAGACAATTGTCTCGACTTCAATATTTTTTACATTTCTAATGGCAGATTTGAACAGTTATTAACAGAGTTCATCAATCTACCTAGTACATCACCGAAAGCAGGTATCTCATTTTAGTGCGGCGCCATATGGGCGGATACCAATCGCCGCAGGTAATTTTGATGCCCAGTTTCCTCCCTCGTGGGAGGCACCTGAGCTCTAATGATGCGAACATGTACTAGGATTTATTTTTGCCTAGAGTAACCTTAGGGATTTTTTACATGCCGTATAATCATACGACATGACCGCTGTCGATTTTTTGCATCATGAAAATCCATCGACTTGGGGTGGGATCGAATCCGCAATCTTGGGTACAGAAGGCCAGCAACAAACCAACCCCGCCACCCAGCCGACTCGATTTCTATATAAGGCATTGCATTTCTCTCTTTCTCGATAAAAACTCAACACAATTTTCTATATCTACCCAATTTACTTGCGATGAAGTCAAAAAATACCATTGAAAACTGTTATTTCTGTGACATTTGTTTCAGACCATTTGGGAGGCCGCGGTAGCCGAGTGGTATAGGTATCAGATCGTGGCATGTCTTGTCACGAGTTCGAACCCAGTACCACTAAAGACCCGCCGTATAGGGCAGCGATGCACGTTAAATCTGTCGAGAGCTGAAACGTCCTCCCGTTGGAGTGGTTTGGTAGTTAGGAGAGGGGGGTGCCAGCTCAGGTGTCGTCCACGTCACTTGACCATGGTTCAAAATTACGTGGTCCGTCGCCAAAAGCCCTCGTGTAGCTGAGCAGTGCGACGTTAATATTCAATCAATCAATCAATTCAGACCATTTGGTAAACTTTTCCGTTATGCCTGAATTTGATTCTTTTAAGTTCGACATTTTTCTTTTTATTATGAAAGGAATAAATTTTTCTTCAAAATAGTTCAAAATAAGACTTTCTGTAGCTGAAATATGCTCACCATCAATCTTTTGAATCGTTTTGCCTGATTATGTGCAAAATACATTAATATCTCTGATAATTCATACTGTACCAGCACACGACGCGTAACAGTTCAGCTTGGTATATCCTCGAGATATTAAGAGATTAGTTTTAAATATTGAAAAGGAGGACAAGTAAGAGAACACTTTTCGAGGAAGGACAGAACCTATAAGAGGACTGTCCTCCCAAAAGGAGAGGACGACTGGTCACCTTAGTATAAACGATAATTGTTTTGATATTTAGAACCCCAAAAATTTTCGTGCACTTCTAATTTTCTATAAAGCTTAATGTTTTCAATTAATAAAAAGAAAAATATATCGGAATTATAATTTTTTATAATACCTTCAACTTGTTCTTATTGAAATAACATAATCAATTTTTAAAATAATAGTTTTGCTATCTTTTAAAAATTGATTATGTCATTTCAACAAGAACAAATTGAAAGTATAGTAAGCAATTGTAATATCGATATATTACTTTTTATTAATTGAAAACATTATGCTTTAAAGAAAATTGGAAGTGTACGAACACTTTTGTCGGCCACCACTGTACATATATAATTGTTTTAAGAATAATATTACAAGAAAAAGTAATTTGAATATAATTTTTCGGCAAAAAACGAAGTAAGAAATACACATTTTCAAAATATTCT